ATTTTGAAATAAATTACCAAAGCATTTCGAATGGCCATCGGAGTTCAACTTATTTTGGGTCATTCCTCGGGGCCGGGGATGGCTTAGTGTTTAGCTAACCGTAATGTGGATACGAGGGTCCATGGTTCGTGATCCTTTCCCGCAAAAAAAGTTTAGCTCTGTATTTTTATGGCCGTGAGTGAGTTATAAGAGCGGCAGTGAAATCCCAATATTCAATTAGACTATCCCAGGAATTAGAAATGTGTTGTGTTGAGTAGAGCTGCCTTCCCTCTAGTCTATGAGCTCCAAATTAGGGATCACTGGCGCAAAAAGCTTTTTTGTAGCTCTGCGAAAGCATCAAAGACAAACAAACAACTTTCTGGAGTTTTTTTATATTTAAACAATTATTTAACAAAAACGTGTGTCTGCTTATAAGTGGAGAGCTGCTTGACCGATTGTCACCAAACCTAGAGTGTGCCCTGAGAGCCCCCACCCCTTTTAACCGGAAGGTTGGCATAGGTCAGTCAGATTTTAATGTCAACCATCTTATGTCACCCTTAGGGGCCTCAATATTTTCTACGTCAGCTGATATATATATGCATATACGAGGAAGTCGTGCAATGAGAATGTAAGCAGCATATTAAAGAAAATAGTTTAAATTAATGCACAACTTAATCTTTATATTTATTAACCGTTGGTATTTATATATGTCATAAAATGCATAATGTCTGGTGAAATTAAGAACGTAACTCCCTTCATAGAATGATAAGTTGAAGAATATCAGAATAATGTGAACATTGAAGGAAAACTGAAGATTGAAAATAGTAGAGAAAGAACCACATTCTTCGCCTTAAATATAACAGTGTATAAAAATGTAAATTAATCATAAGACGTGCTATAAATTATACTCGGCTTATTAATTACAACCCATTAAGGAATTGTTTACATGAAGAAATTCTCTTGCGGATATAGAACTATATCTATCATATTGAATTTTAAAGATAAAGTGATAACAACTAAAAGGTTACGCTTTTAACTTTAAATAGCGCTTTTAACTACGACTTATTCTGTGTCATTACTTTGCATTATAACTTTTTAATTGATTTGATGGTAAACCAGTTTCTTGCGTTTAATAACTTCTCTTTATTTTAATGAAAGAGCTTAAAATATGGTTTCGATACACGTGATGGCAGAGAATAGACAGCCCATTGTGTAGCTTTGTGCTTAATAGTAATCAAACCAGCAGAAGAATGTTTGTTTTTGTTTGAATTTCGCGCAAAGCTACACGAGAGCTATTTGCGATAGCCGTCCCTAATTTAGCATTGAAAGACACCACCCACCACCAACTCTTGGGCTACTCTTTAACAAACGAATAGTGGGAATAAACGTCACATTATAATGCTCCCACGATTCGAACCCGCGACCCTCAGATTGCGAGCCCTAACCACCTGGCCAATAACAAATGTCCAAGATTTCGACAAGGTTGTGTAATCATCAGATTCAAGTAAAAGAGTGAAGAGAAAATAAACATGAAATAACCATCGGAAGGATGTATTAATTATTAGTTCATCTTTTATGTATCTTCCCAAGCTTTTTGTACAGTTGAATTATCGTCCGTGACGTAATCAACATGAAACTTCACTTTACTGAGAAGATTCGGGTTGCCCTCGTGGTAGCGCTCTGGATTTCAGAGCTGGCGAACCACGTTCGAATCCGTGTGATACCATAAACTATTATCCATACTTTAAGCTGTGTGGATGTTGTAAGAGTGACAGTCAATCCATTAGCCTGGATAGTGAGTGGTAATCTGCTGCAGACTGGTCAGTAGTCAATAGTTGTGGACGATGGTAGACAGCCTTAGTCGTTTTGCCATAAATACAAAACATGAATACGAAATGCCCTTCATGATAGACCTCAAAATACAATTAATTTTTTCCAACTTTTACTTTCGATATTATGCTTGTCGTTTTTGCTAATCGCTCTCAAATGTAAAAAACTGTAAATGTATATTGATGCTAAAACTAAATGCTTTAATAAATTCATATCTAATATTACTACAATTCAGGGTGGTTTTACTTTAAGATGGATATGTATAACAAAACTGGATTCCTTACCTTTTAACCAAAGTGACTTCGCGAATAATTGAACAAAAATATAAAGAAAGTGTTCTCTGAATGAGCTCTGTCGGATGACAGTTTTACACAAAATAACATTTAACTCCTATTAGTCTATGAAACGACACAAATTGATTATATTAAGCTACAAGCGTTCGCATCTTCAAATTCACAGTGATGTCGATAAGATAACTGAAGTCGTCTGGACATAGTTGTTAATCTAAAGAGTTAATCTGTTTATTTTCAAACAGAAATACCGTTATACGGATATGACTAGTCCGACCAATAGTATTCCTGTGTATTATTTCAGTTTTTATCTGATCTTGAAATCCTCCAACAAAGACAAATTAAATTATTTCTCGAAAGAACATACACTATTTTCTTTTTAAATATACACACAACGTATATACGATTTTTTTATTCTGTTTTCCTACCTTAGAAGCTAGAGGAATCACAAACGTGCTGTGCTCTATCATAATTATAGCTTGTTTTTACGTTTTAGTAATGGAACCTAAAACTGGATTCTATACAAATTAAATTACTTTCATAAAAATTATTTACTCAGTTTCTGATTCATTGCGAGAATTTAATATGTAACGTAAGTAAATGGTTGTGTCTACTGCTCTTAGAAACTGAAGCTTCAAATTGCCGTTTATGTTTCAGTAATGTTTCAGACAGTCATCCTGATACCGTTATAAAATCGTTGTGTAAAAATGCAAATCATTATCTGCGCTGTTATTGACAGGAGAAAAACAATGTAATAAAAATGATACCAAACACTACGAGATAATAACTTTGAATGTTTTGAAATAAAGAATTGTTCAATACAACCAGTATTGTTATGCATCTCAACAAAAGACCTATTTTCTCTGATGTATTTGTGTCATCCAAGCCAGTAATTACACTTATTAAATTTTATGTCACCATTATTTAATTCTTACTAATGTATTTTTTAATAACATTTCGTTATCACAGATTACAGTAATTTGTATTGTTTGTTTCTTTCGCCCCCCCCCCAGTGGCACAGCGGTATATCTGAGGACTTACAACGCTAGAAACCGGGTTTCGATACTCGTGGTGGGCAGAACACACATAGCCCATTGTGTAGCTTTGTGCTTAACTTCAAACAAACTATAAACTACAGATTTCTCCCAATTCTCATTACTGCTGTTTCTTCTCGACAAAACCGAACATTCGTGTAACTTGTTGGAAGTGGCAGTATTTAGTTAGTGAAAAACTTTAAATGGATTCGAATTACTACAAGTGTTAGGTAAAGTAATCTTGACCGAGGCTTCCTTAAAATACAGACTAGCCAGCAGGGATTATTGAAGTTATAGCTGCTTAATAAAGTAACCTTGACCTAGAGTTTTACCCAAGACTTCCTGAGAATACAGAATAGCCAGCATGGTTTACTGAAATGTTGTTTCAGTGAGATTCTAGGCAAAGTAGACATGATAGGTTTGAGAAATTTAATGGACTACGACTGCCCGTTAAATGAAACAGAATATTTTGGTGGTTTTCTTCAATCAACAGGCAATTGCACCCATTAAAGTTTCCAAGCCTACTGTAGTTGATTGAAGTTATAACTGGTTACTAAATTAATCTTGATCTAGATTTTTACCCAAGGCTACCAAACAATTCAGAATAATTAGCATTGTTTATAGCAGTTATACTTATGACTACTTACTAAATTAATCTTGATCTAGAATTTTACCCAAGGCTACCAGACAATTCAGAATAATCAGCATTGTTTATAGCAGTTATACTTATAACTATGTACTAAAATAATCTTGATCTAGAATTTTACCCAAGGCTACCAAACAATTCAGAATAATCAGTATATTTTTTATAGTTCTACTCTTATATATGTGTGTGTGTGTGTGTGTGCGTGTAAGCAGCTACAAATCATGTCTATCTACAGATCTGTATTGATTCATGTAAAGATTTTTGTGGAGAGAATACACATTGACTTGAGTTACTGATATTGACTAAGCAACTTACACTGTTGTTTGAAGTTGAAACTTATTCACACAATAATCATTTACTAAATCACCATTGACTTCACATTGAACAAAGTAAATTTTCTAACTTTAACATACAAATCTAAAGTCAACTAAAGAGCTAGGCTTTGAGCAGTGTTTTTATACTGTTTGCTCAATTATCATAATAAAGCCCCATATGACATTACGTCACTGCCTTCTCAAGTGGGTTTTGAGCAATAGGCAAGTAGCCCTTCAAATGTGTTTCGTATTTAGGGGCTATCATGCAAATCGACTGAACTGATATTTGCAAAGAATACTTCGAATGCATTTAAAATAAAACAATTCAGCGATGAAACTACTATTCACTTGCTTCGAGCTACATATATTATATGCAGTAGATAATTTATAATTTAAAATAGAAATGTTTGTATTTGGGAAATAATCCCTAATCAAATTTATAAAAGATTGTCCTGAGGGAAACGCAACAGTGTATGAAGTTTGTACACGTTGGCATTCGTCCCAGGCGAATACAAGAGCTAACAAAAGACGCCTTTGACGTCATTTGGCCTGTCACGTGTTCATTTGAGCGATAACATACGGTGTTAGGCGAGGAGGCTGCGTCAGTTAGTGCAACAGGTTTAAGCTGCGGAGATGTATAGTAGTGGTGGTTATAGTCCAGAATCTGTAAGTACCAAGTGTTTACTTTTCATCATCTGTGTAAGATATATTTTCGAACTCTTGATAATTGTGACTTTACTAATATGATATTAAAATATTTCAACACCAAGCTATGTCTTTCTAATAGGAATTTGTATTTAATTATATTATTAGACTAATATTATTTACTATTGTAGTTTATTCAAATGTTTTTAAGACTCGTTTGGTAACTTACTTTTTTTTAAGGTAGTGGTTCTCAAACTTTTTCGTCTGGGACCACTTCAGCGGGACAAAAGACCCTCCGACCACCTACTGGTCCTACCTCATCCGCTTTCGCTTGCCACCGCAAAAACAAAACAAAAAACTTATCAGTAACTTGCATTTTGGGGACTAACCCATCCACCACCTGGAAGACCTCTCGAACCACTAGTGGTCCGAAGATCATGTTTTGAGAACCACTGTTTTAAGTCTTACCATGAAGTAGGATTTTTCCTGATCTTTAATCCAAAACCTATTATTACAATGTAAAGACTTGCGCGAGATGAATGTAAATTTTAATATTGAATTCCTTTAGCTTATCTCTGTTCTCTATGTGTATCATTCATAGTTAGACAAGTGTTGTAATTCATCAAAAGTATTTTCTCTATTTCGAAAGTTCACATTTCTTTAGTATTTGTTCCCAAGTTAAAATAGTTTAGAAGGTGAATGTTTCCAGTAATTGGTAGTTATGTTTATACTATTCTTCTGTTATAGAGGCCTCAGTTGGTCCCAAGCCCAAGTCACGGAGCGGGAGACGCTGGTAGTCCCCTGTCCCTAGAAAGCTGGTACGCCTCCGACTTGGACGCCTGGCTGCGAGACAGTGAAGTTCCAAATAAAGAATCCACTAAGATTGGCTTCAGCACCCAGCAACAAGAAATGAACAAATTACTAGATTCCAGCCTGCTTTCTTACGGGAACACTTCTGCAAGACTAAGTGGGCTTACTGGTGATAGTTCAACTAAGCTGGCCAGTTCGACTGTCTCGTATAAACAGTCTGTCCACGTTAACATTCCTTCTCCAGAATCATCGTTCAGCTCTACCCCTGCCGAAAGTCCTACTTTATACGATACTGTACTGCCTACATCAAATTCGAGAAACGTTTCGAACATAGTTAGCAGTCCTCCATATTTGCCCGTACCGGTGGAAGAAATTAAGCGAGAACTGCCAGATGAATTCAGCAGTGGATGTACCAATGATTTGGGATCATTTTATGGCGCCCTCCAAAATTTAGTCAAGACTGAAGATGAGTTTGCCGGCCCGTGTCAACTGTCACAAGAAAAGTTTCAACAAGTACAAAGTCTCGCTATGGAGCAGGTCTCTCGCGACATTGACTTAGCTTGTCAAGTGCTTGGCATATCTCGTGGTAAGTTGTTCATCTAACATCGCTCTTTTTAACTTTAAATAAAAAAACTACTAGTGCATTGTTATTTATGATGCAACACAAAGTAGTTTTATTACTATAAAAAGTGTATTAAAAAAACGCAATCTCTATGCCTTTGAACAATCTCGGGTTGTATTTTGTTCGACAATTTGAATGTTATGTCATACTCCATGTTGGCATTAAGTTACTCCAAGTAAGGTCTGATCTGTACTTTAAAACAATTTAAAACTGTTAAATTTTACTGTTTTATGTCAGAATATCGTAGAAAAAAAAGACATTGGCATTTTCTTTCTGTTACTATTTATGACCTCCTCAATCTAAGACCTGCGAAAAATTGGGGCTTGTATCACAAAATAATGATTCCTCAATCTTTCAAGATTTGGAAATAATTGTAGATTTAAGCTAAGTTAATTGCTAATACACCAAACCATGAGAAATGTTAACTATTTTTCTGAAAAAAAAAGATGATGGGATTCATAACCACCATTCTTCTGGCGGAAAAGATACTTTAACCACCTAAAGATTCAACTACCATAAGAACCAGACTTTAACCCATAATACTTACTATCATTGTAGTTGGAAGTGGTGAATGAATTTTTGAATTGAAGGCACTTTAAAGGTGGCACAACATCCAGTTACAGAGGAAAGAGGAATTATTTTGGGAGAAGGTGAAGATCTGAGACTGGGTGGAAGTTAAACAAATTATACTATTTAGTTGTCAGTGGAGTGAGAACCAAGAGTTAAAGCTTTCAAAATCCCATCGTGTTGTTTGGTTAAAGCAAACCCATAGACTTCATTTTCATCCTATTTAAGTTTTTGCTTCGTCAGAAATAATTTAACAACAAAGGGTGGTGTGAAACTTTACAATAGTCCATCGTTTACTCAGTTAAACGAGGTTCTTAACATGCCTCTGTGAAGTAAAATGCGATATTTGTAAGGGAAACTTTGTGGTGAAGAGATTTTCACTCATGGCTAAAATGACTTTTCTCTCACGAATATTAAATTCCGATCATAACAAGTTATCTACTTGTAATGGCTGGAACCGGCTTGAATGGGTAATGAAGAAAAACTTTAATATAACATCATGACAAAACCTTGTCGAAACGTTGTACATTTGCTGTTATATTAAAGTTTTTCTTCATTACCCATTCAAGCCGTCTCCTGCCATTATTAGTCTCAAAGTGGGTTCCTCGTCATCGAATTTAAGTTATCTACTTATTCAACTTTATTATAAGATTTTATTTTAAAGTAAGTTACATTTTCACTTGTTGTATGTCAGGTTTTATTAAATTTCTTAACTTCGGTTATTCCGTTTATATAATTTTTACATTTTCAAATAGACAAATATCTTTTAGGTGGGTATTCCCCCTCTGAGAGTCACAGCAGGTAGAACATTTCTCTTTGTTGTGAAACCCTGCCCTTATCACGGAAAAATTCCCCGTTGTTTAGCTGACTACACCCTACTTTCTCAAGTTGTCATGTCTTAACACAGGGGGGACATGTAAGTAGGGAAGGTAAGGCTGTGTTTGGTAGGTAAATAGGCCTTTGAACATTTGTGCCCTTTTGCTGACGTCAAAGTCTTGGAAATGGTCAGTCAAGTAGGTTGATTCATCGTCTAAATATGGAAAGAGGTCATTGTTATTTGTCTTTTTCTCGGTTTGTGGCTGAACTTGTAGATTGTGTACCAGGGTGTAACTTGTTTTAACAGTTCCTGAACTGTACTTAGGAAATTAATTTTCTACTTAGAAGAGATGTATGTACGTGATTTATAATACCGCCCTCGTCATTAACTTTTAAGTTTGACTTCATACAGTTTATTGAGTTTATTGATGTATTTTGAATCAAATTTTATACCCGAGCTGAAAGACTTAACCTTTAACTTTTAAAGTTTACATATACTATTATTATAAATTGTAGTTTTAGCGAGTAAAGCTATATTTAGGTTGTGGACTAATTTAAGTACTCGTGAATTGAGCGCGCACCTTATTAGCATATTGATCAGGGCGGGTTTTTAATGTAACTTTCTGATTGGACAAGATATTAAATTTTTCGTTTCTATAATATTATTAATGTTTGACCTAGACCTCTTAGATTCCCCCTTTTTTCATAGAAGTAATTAATCATTATGTGTAAAACTTTATAAACGAATAAAATATGCCCTTGTATTGAAATGATGTGTCTATTAACGTAAAATATTGTTTAATAATTTATATGGGTGAAATTGCAAATTTGTAACAGTAACATACAAGGTAAAGCACGTACTATACGATTTTCGTTTGTTTGTAGCGTTGTAAATCCGCAGACATACCGCTGTGCCACACGGAGGGGGGCATATTATACGAATTGGTTCCTATAATCATGGGCTGGGCATGGCCTACGATGGTTAACGTGCCTGAACTGTGAATCAAAGGGTTCATGGTTTGCAGCTCATTGCCTCAAAAACACGATCCGCACTTTGGAACCAGGGAAGTGCGCTGTTGACAATCAAATCTCACAAATTTTATCGAACAGAGAGTAACCCAAGGGTTGGCGGTGGGTGTTGTTGATTAGTTCCATTCTATCTCTAGACTATTATGGTCGAATATATATGTGTGTGTGTGTGTACGCGCGCGCGTAATCCTTGTGTAGTTTTGCGCGAAAAAAAAATAGTTTTCTAACTATTTTATGTTAGTTTATCCTGATAGTGGCGCGTTCTTTAGATACCCCTTGTATTCGACAGTTATTCAGTTGTAATGGACGACTGTGGTATGGTTCGAAGTACTAATATCAGGTTTACGAATGGGCAAGAACACCCTGTGTAATATCGTTTATGTGAAACCACAGACAAGAAGCATGGTTTTCTTATTTTATTCGTGGTTTTTTGTTTTATTTTTGCAAACCCTTTATTAAAATGTTTTGAAAACTGGTTATGATGACTACAACAACTAAGTTTTAGTTAGGTATTTTCAATAGATTCAACTGTATTACTTCGTATGGGCTAATCCATATGAGAAAATGTCTTTGAAAAATGCTGTCAACGAGAAATACTTTTAAAGCTAAAATTCGCATAAATATTTTATCTTAACAGGTATGGTGCTAATAGTAAAACTAATATAATTTTAGAGTGTATTTATACACAAGTAAAAAACAAAGTAACTATACAAATCACTAGTGTGGCCTCAGTTAATTGGAATGCAGTGTACATTTTTGATCTCATTATCTAAGAAAGGATACTAACTCGTTGGAAATGGTTCGGAGGAGGGTTAATAGGATAATTCTGGGAATCGAAAAATATAGTGATATTTAAAAATTTGTTGTCTTTTGAGAAAGTAAGGAGAGGTGATATTATTGATATTGACAAGATTGTCTCGTGAGATGAATTGGCTATATTCTTAAAACAAGAGGACACAGGCTTAAGATTGGAAAGGGCAGACTGAGCTCCAAGTAAGACAGTTTTATTTTTATAACAGGATGGTTGGATTACGAGTTGCTGTCAGCAATAGTGCATTTTACAAGAGTTTTAGAGAGGTATCGACGAATTCCCGAAAATTAAAGAAAAGGGTTGTATGTATTAAGTTATGGTTGTGTCTCGGTTTTCTGTAGGCTCGATAACGATGTGTTATTCATTCTTATCCTAGAAGTCTGATTTGAAAATTCTTAAATAAAATTGATAATGGTTGCTGTTAATTTGGGTCACACCATTAGCCATAGGCTTTTTCGGCACATGATCAAACAGATGTATTATGGTAGACATATTATCCTTTGCTTTCACTCATAGGTTCTTAGAAGTGCGTATTTCTAGTATTATTTTAAAACAAGCTTTTCATGCAAAACGAAATCTTAAAGACCCTATCGAAAAATTATTTTTTATTGAGTAAGCTTTATTGATTCATTCGGTGGTTTACATTTGCAACAATAATTTACGCAGTTGGCTAACATAGTGGCTTTAGTAAGATGATGTCTGTCAATCGCCAGCATAATTCGGTGTTTCTGCACTATTTTATACAACGTTTTATTCAAACAAATTATTATTTTTTCAGATCCCACTGATTGGTCTGCGGCAGACGTTCGAGCATGGTTTGTGTGGACTGTGAAACAATACAACCTCCCCAACATACTTGTTGATTATTTTGCTATGGATGGGGTGGCTCTGTGCTCTCTGACAGAAGAAGATTTTCAACGTAGAGCCCCACGTGATGGAGAAACACTTTTTGCTCAATTAGACATCTGGAAAACTGGTATGATATTTCTTGGAATAGAGTGATAACATTTTCGTACTTTAAAATGTTAGGCAGACATCTGTTTTGCTTTCTTTTTGTTCGAAGCAGCTATAGCTTAAGCTGAGATCCACGCAATAATTAAAAATAGTTTCTGTCGTAGTAAATAGTTTTAGACTGTTATGTTGTTTTGAGATGTTTGTAAATAATCTACACCGTAATTTTTATACGGCACTTGGCAATTAGCCAATATTCCAGTTCGAAATAGCGTATTAAACTGTTGTAAAGTTTTTTATCTATTTTTATAGCGACAAAAAAGCATGTCTAGTGTAAGTGTGGTTTCTCATAGTCATAGATATCAATTTCGGGCAGAAATAGTGTGCATTTAGTTTATCGTATCATTTTACTTTATTGTTTAATCATTTCCAATCCTATTAATTTATTACGGAAACTACAAAGTTTCGTTAAGAATTAAACCAAAAACTCGAAGTTCAAGTGAAAATCGTGGTTTAGCCTCATATTTCCTCCGATTCAAAGAAACAACACAAACAGGACTTGTTAATACGTTTTGGAACTCATATTTTTTTTAAGTTCTTCGAGCTCCATTGTTTTTATATTGATGTGTTCGACTTGTATAAGAAGAAAATAACGGGAAGTGTATTCGGTCGTTTGCCAAAACTAGTCACCTTCACATTTCTTCAAAACGTGGGGAATCCCTTGTATAATTTGACACGTTTGACCTAGATCCAAGAATGCAAATACAAGTAATAAAGGCCCACTTTGTTGTAAACATTTTTTCCTCTAGTTGGTAATGCTACATTATTTTCCATTCTGCCCCCCCCCCGTGACTCCGTGGTAGGCACTAGAGTTTATAACGCTCAAATTCATGGTTCGATCCTTGCAGTTAGTAAACTTAGATAGCCCATTGCGCAGCTTTGCGTTTAGGAAAAACACAAACTGTTCTATTAAAATGCTCATACTTAATCCTAAGAATAAAATACAGTATACGAATATCCTGATGTTTTACAACGCGAACTGGTGTGTTTAATAAGACACAACGTTATATGCCAGAATAACTGAAACGTCGATCATCAAAGTGCAATGTTTATTTCACTGATATAGAAAGTGCCTTTTTTGTTTTCATAGATAGCAGGGTGGAGTAACATAATTTTCAGAATATTTGTGATTTATTCAACTGTTAACGTTTTCAAACAGAAACTCGTGAAAGAACTTGTTATGCTTTTAAGTTAAACACCAGATATAATATATTAATTTCCTTAGGTGTAATATTTAAGTTTTCTCTTACATTGGTGATGATTTTACAGCAGTCCTATTCGTAAGTTATAAATATCTAATGTATCAGTTATTTGTATTACAGCTGTAAATATACGAAAGAGTGGTCAAAACATGAGTATGTCGCCGTTTCGAGTGGAAGATAGTATTCTCGACATCAATGGTCTTTTAAACCAATGGTCAGGCTCAGTCTCAGCAGTAAGTACGCCGCCTTCTCGCACCAATCTTGTTGATACAGTGGGTAACAAAATGCCGAATGGTCATATTTCTGCTTCAGCTGGTTCTGGATGTGGAAACGGTACTTTCGACAGTTCCCTCATTATGGGAACTGAAGGACTGCCAGTTCTTGCAAGTAGCAAGTACGCCAACGACAGCTTACATAGTGATGGTAAGTTTCATATGATAATAATAAAAAATATCGATAGAGTACATTTTTTATCCTATATTGATTGTGTTATTATCTAATTTCATCAATCAAGACTTGTTTCTCTCTCTTTCTCATTCTGTGCGTGAAATGTGTTCATAGTTTTACACATTATTGCACGAGATTATGTTTAAATGGGTTGAATTATCTTTGAGTAAACAAGATTTCATAAAATCTTACATACTTATTACATGGCATCTCTTAGTGGTGAACACATTTACAATGCACCTTGGCATAGGCCTAATAATTTTGACACCGTCCGTTTTTACCGGGCGTAAATTGTTGAACTAGAGGGCCTCGTATTGGAATGTTGCTCAGCCTCGGGCAAGTTTCAGTCGCCCGGTTAGGTTTCAGTCCACACCTAATCAGGTTGTGTAGCGGTTGGAGGTTTAAAAAAAACCAGCTTGGATAGTTTCAAGATGATGTTGTCAGTATAGAATCCCACCATGTATTAGATATATAACTCGGGGCGTAGTTATTTTTCTTAAACAGTGTATCTGTACGTCAATTTGTAAATTTTACTCTCGCGAGTCGTCCTTCGCTCTGCTAGAATTGAAGTTTAGACAGCAGTAAGTTTACGGACTGGCATCGCTAAAATTCGGGGTTCGATTCCCCGCGCCGAACACAGCAGATAGCCTAATATGGCTTTATTTTAGAACAAACAAATCTTAGGCTAATTTCTTGATTGGTGCACATTCAAAAATATAAAATCGCTGCTGTTTGTTTAATTAAACAAAATCAAATCAAATGTTTTACAAACATGTAGGGGACAAACCGTAAACTAGTTAACGTCGAAACGAGTGATATAATCTTTAAATTTCGGTTATTTGAGCAAAGCTACGTAAAGGCTATGTCCGCTTGCCGTCCCTAATTTTGAACTTCAGGGAAAGGTAGCTAGACAACAACATCTACCGCCAACTCTAATCGAATAGAGGGGATTTGATTGTCACTCTTATAATACATTCATCGAACCAAAAGTACGGACCACAGGGCCACGTCCGATGACAGTGAAAATGTCACAACTTCCTCCAACAGCTTGGAAGGAATATTGTACTTGTTTGGATTAAGCTGAGGCCTCATATGGCCTTTCATTGACGTCATATGTGCCAGAATTTAACCCCTACGTACATTTCTTAAGCATTCATCATCTTTTGTATTGTAATTGTATAGCGTTTGTAAAGTTGTTGTTGTTTTCATTCTCTATAGTAGGTTGGGATAAACACGATAAATTCTGGCACCATGTTGCTAGTAAAACGGGTTAATCCATCGTCTTTTTTTATAGGATTTATTATAGTTAAAGCGATACTAGACTTGCTAAACTGGAGAGGTGGGTAAAGGGACAGCACTGAAGTTAAACCGACCGTGACCTACTTTTTTTTTTTAGATGGTAGCTTGGAACATCACCATGTTTAATGCACGTATCTGCCTACAAGTTTTCAACCGTAGAATGTGTAACAGAATACCAAACATAGATGATTGGACAGTAGACATTTCTTAATATTATACACGTATATACTGATACGAAGTAACTCGTGGTAAATAATAAATTAGACAAAGTCTTCAGGACTATTGCTGCATTATATTTACTCCCACTTTGTTTATGTTTGTCTAATTTGTTAAACTTGAAATTATATTCTTGCAGATGAAACAAGTGAAGACAGTTGTGAGGTTGAACGATTTGCAGGTACAAGGTCTGGATCTCATTCACACATCCACCTGTGGCAGTTTCTGAAAGAGCTTTTAAGTCAGCCGCAGATGTATGGAAGCTGTATCCGCTGGCTTGATCGTTCCAAGAGTGTTTTCAAAATTGAAGATTCTGTCAGGGTTGCTCGCCTTTGGGGTAAGCGAAAGAACAGACCAGCCATGAATTACGACAAACTCAGCCGTTCTATTCGTCAGTACTATAAGAAAGGCATCATGAAGAAAACCGAGCGTTCGCAGCGGCTGGTGTATCAATTCTGTCATCCATACGGCCTGTAGATTTAGCCTAATGGCGGCGTAATCAAGCTTCGAGTGCAACATCATTTCGAGCTTAATTTTTTTCTTCATCATTTTTTCGTTTACTGATGATTTCACAATTGTCTAGCTGGTCTATGAAATGTGAAATCACTCAGTCTTTTTGCATATGTAAATATCATTTAATCTATGGGCTGGACCCATATCTAAGAATATATATTTTGTTTGATAATAACATCTTTGAGTAGGCTTATGGCAATGACTGGTCTTGAAGGTATAATTCTTGACCTGTTGGCCTAGTTAGTAAATTTCTTCTTGAATAATGTTAAAAAAAAAAGAAAATTATTTCCTCGAATACTTGATGATTTATACGATTGGTTTTTTGTATTTAAACTATAATAAAACTAATTCTAGCTGGCATGCTTAAGCCTACTCAACAAATATAATATGATTGTTTTTCGCGAATAGTAATTTTACCGCATGTTTGAGTTGTTACGCAATTTTAGTTCTCTGCATGACACTGACGACCCCTGGTGAGCCTTGTGTATTGAGACTAGGATCCTAGGTCGGTTGTTTTGCAAGCAGGTGAGCTGAATGCGTACACCCATAATATCTTGGCCCTTGCACTAAGTAGTGGTGTGATGTTCTCCAAGCATAAGTGGGATTGAAAGAACTCAAACTCCGGTGAAGTTTTTCCCATATATCAATGATATATAGTGGTATGTTCTAAGAACACGCTATATTTCAGTTGGTCTCACGTGAGACCAACTGAGATTATTATTATTATTATTATTATTATTCTAAGGGTTGGTGTATAGGTTAAGGATTGATATTAATCAAGTTTATAGAAAGTTTATAATTTCAGGAATGCTTAATTTTTTCGCACTGTAAGTGGGTTGATGGTAAACGAACATTATTATTCAGTCTCGTTATTCTTTCTGAAACTTTAACATGTTTTTTCACGTAAATAGTGGAAAGGCCAAGCAGAAAGAAGTAGCGATGGCATATATTATCGGTGTTATTCTAATATAATCCTTTACTGGTGTGGGTCGCTATATTTTTCGGATGATCAATGTATAGTTACACATACATGACATCATTTGTTTGTGGGTTTTGTTTCATAACTTCGTAAAAAATACATGGTTTAGCGATTTTTTATGTTTTACGTTATGTGAATGTAAATACAGTTTTCCAATGCTATAATGGAGAGGTATAGTTGTAGTAACATATTTTATCTCTGCTAGCTTACTTGTAAAGACAAGTTAAATTGGATAAAATAGTATGTATTGTGTTTAGTATTAGAATAAATGGTGAAAGTAAATTGACTGAAACATTTCTGAAAAGTGTTTGAAAAGTGCAGTCGTAGGTTGTAGGTTGATAATGATTGTGTTAAACTGTTCTTGAAGAAATGTAAGTTTTGGAATATTTCAAATAAAATTTGATTCAAAATATATGTTTCGTTGCGTTAATTTTATGGTTCAGTAAGTTGCCTCAAAAACCGTTTATTATAGAACTCAATCATTATGTAAGTCTGATATGTAATAGATTATACATCTATAAAAACTTACAAAAATTAATAGTCGTGTAATTTGATATACAAAAAAATTGACATCCGTATAACATTATAATAAAACGTAAGCATGTGGGAACTAGATTAAATGGTGAGCGAAAATTGATAAAATTTTGTTCATGGGGATCTTATCAGAATGACGGTATACTTCTAATGTGGATTATCAAAGTGTATACTGGAATATTATTAACTAACATTCTACTTTACAATTTCATAATCTAAGGGGATATTAACTAACATTCTAGTTTACAATTTCATAATCCCAGGGAATATTAACTAACATTCTAGTTGACAATTTCATAATCCAAGGGGATGTTAACTCTCCAGTTTACAGTTTGATAATCCAAGGGGATATTAACTAACATTCTAGTTTACAATTTCATAATCCAAGGGGATATTAACTAACATTCTAGTTTACAATTTCATAATCCAAGGGGATATTAACTAACATTCTAGTTTACAATTTCATAATCCAAGGGGATATTAACTAACATTCTAGTTTACAATTTCATAATCCAAGGGGATTGTTAGTTAATATCCCCTTGGATTATCAAACTGTAAACTGGAGTGTTAGTTAACATCCCCTTTGGATTATCAAATTGTAAACTAGAATGTAAGTTAACATCCCCTTGGATTATCAAACTGTAAACTGGAGTGTTAGTTAACATCCCCTTGGATTATCAAATTGTAAACTAGAATGTTAGTTAATATCCCCTTGGATTATCAAACTGTAAACTGGAGTGTTAGTTAATATCCCCTTGGATTATCAAACTGTAAACTGGAGTGTTAGTTAACATCCCCTTGGATTATCAAACTGTAAACTGGAGTGTTAGTTAACATCTCCTTGGATTATCAAATTGTAAACTAGAATGTTAGTTAACATCCCCTTGGATTATCAAATTGTAAACTAGAATGTTAGTTAATATCCCCTTGGATTATCAAATTGTAAACTGGAATATTAGTTAACATCAACTTGGACTGATTTACTGTTTTTCAATAGCAAACCAATAGATTGAATTCTAACTTTACGATAATTGTATGAGAAGAAATATTGTTCTCAACAATAGGCGGTTGTAGTCGTAACCACGGGCTGCTGTTATTTTTTGTAAGTGTATATTTTGGATTTAAGATTTATATTTCTGTGAGACTTAGCTAATGTAATATTCATCAAATGATGTTGTATCTTAATATATTTATTTTTTGAGGCTGTAAGTTTACAAGATGGTTCCTTACAGTCATTAAGGGCTGGAGAGATGCAATATATAAAAAAAAACCTGTTGGAACGACATGTAATAAAAATAATAATATACATATATCGTTGTATATAAAAACAAAGAGTGACAGATATGTATTCATATAATGCATAATTAAGAGCACAAGAAAAACAAGTATTGAAACAAATTTAAATTGTCATTTTAAGGGCTCCTTCCTAGGGGTTCTTGATCGTAGTAATAAGTAATGGAGCACTAAAGTGAAAAAAAAAAATCTAGCCCAACTAGTTTCAGCCACATGCGAACTCAACCTAGCTGCTCGCTTGTGCGTGGGATAATATAATACTCCACCTTAGGATAGATAAATAGCGGCTTTAAGTTGACTTGGCAAGTTGCCAGGTTTAAAAAACAAAACATTAATGGCGTCTCTTTCGCTCGGCAAGTTGTTTTTATATGATTATATTATTTTATCTATATATCTACCACGTGTACTTAAATTTCAAGGTCCTTAGCTTTTCGTGCGACGCCGGTTATGGCACGAACGTAGAAGTTGATGGCCAAAATATTGAAAGTGTTGTACGATTTATTGGGAATAATCTCGATTGCTGTTTGAGGGCTTACATTAAACTGGTTTACTGTTAACTGTGGTGATGTATCGACCATGTAAATTGATGAAAGTAACTCATTTAGTCCACAAAGTTTTACTGGTTAGTTTTTAAGGTTGATATTCTAACACGCAAACAGTAAAATACAAAATTTGCTCAGATGATCAATCGGTAGACCGTGTTATTGATTGCGGATACAATTAAATAACACAAAATTAGATTGTTTAACTAAGACTGAAAATAACAAGCAGACACTCCACATAAAAAAAATATAACAACTTCTTATTGGAACGATATTCATTTTAGTTTTAAAAGTCAGTTTTCGTCCATCCTCCTCCTCTCCTCCGAGATGGCTTAGCAGTAATCCTGAGGGCTTATAACGCTAAAAATCAGGTTTCGATACCCGTGGTAGCCAGAGCACACATAACTCATAGTGTAAACAGTTTTATAACAGAGCTCTAAACAGGTTTAATAATTAATAAATTAGGTCAAAAGCCTTTATAGAAAAATGTGACTTTAATGAAAAGCCTTTTTCTTAAGAAACAAAAAACTAATTTGGTTTTTTAATTTTTTCATGCAGTGCTACATATACAGAATAATCGTAATAAATTTATAGCAGCAAATTAGCCTTTCTACCGGTATCTGCAGTCATACAATAAAATCAATCGCCTTTTGCTAGCAATGTAATATAATCATTATATATTTTCCTTTGCATTTTACAAAATTTACTCTCGTATATTTCAAATTAAGTAAAATAGTTTCATTTCTTTAACTGAAAACAAAAGAGAATACTGAAAGTCTGTTTATTTTTAGAAATATATATATATATATGGCAAATTATACCAAGCCAGACTTGAGCTAGCGTTTAGCGTACCTGGTTGCGGATTTTCAGAAGATCCAAAGTTCGAGCCTGCTATACACTGCTGAACGGTCTGTCACGTGATTCAGTTCAATATATTTGACGGCCTCACCTTCATCACTGCTTAAGGGACATACTCCGTACATTCAGCTGTAGGAGCGTTTTAAAAAGACAGCCAATCCCGCTTTTTGGTTAAGATTAGCTTTATAGGTTTTTCAGCTCCTTCTGATCAGGAGGTCTAAATCAAGGACGGCGACGACTGGACCTTGGGGTTTCTGACCAGGCCTTTTAACCCACGTGCTTCATAAGGTGTCATTCAGGTTGAAAATACCAAATAAGAAACTACACAAGTCTTAGGAAAAATAAAATTAGAATCAATCAATTCTTGGCTTTATATTTTCCATAGCAGATGCCAATACTTTCGTTACTGGGTCTTCTCTGTCTTTAAGCTTGGTTTGATTGTTGTTAATTAGAATCAATCAATTCTTGGCTTTATATTTTCCATAGCAGATGACAATACTTTCGTTACTGGGTCTTCTCTGTCTTTAAGCTTGGTTTGATTGTTGTTAAGCGCAAAGCTACACAATGGGCTGTCTGTGCTCTTCTCATCACAGGTATTGAAACCCGAATTTTAGCGTCCTAAACCTGAAGGCTTACTGCTGAACCACTGGGGGCTCTATCTTTAAGAGTGAAATTAGAAATTGATGAAAGTGTTATGATAATAAATCATATTAGATTATTCTATAATAATCAAAACCCGCTCTACATTAGTTACGTGATGACGTACACAAGAAAGAGATCTTTCTACTTCTAATTTTTACAACGCTAGAAGCCGGGTTTCGATACCCGTGGTGGGCAGAGCACAAATAGTCCATTGTGTAGCTTTGTGCTTAAAAAACAAACAAACAATTATTACATGTCATTGCTTTCAGTTGGTTTTGCTAATCATTATGTTCAATTATGCAACAATGAATTAACAAGCATATTGTCTTACTGAAAGGCGAACAGATAAATGGTTGGCTCAATTCGTATAGAAACATCAACGAGTCCCATGAAAATATTCAGGTTATAGAGCAAATGCGTAGGTGATGGTCAATAGAGAAAAGTAGAGTTGGATGGAATAGTTAAAAGGTGACAGAGTAAATATATCATAGCCAATAGACAAAAGTAATGTTGGATGAACAAAGAAACAAGCGATATAGAAGATAGATGATTGGTTGACAATAGACAAAAAATATAGTCAGATGAAATAGTTAACTGGTGATACGGCAGAACGATAATGGACAACAGGCGATAATGTAGATTGATGAGCTGAACAACTCAGTAGATTGATTCTAGGTCCAATAAACATTCCTATAATCAAATTATCCAAATAGAGTAGTCACAGGAGGTGGAAAAACTATGTACCCACTGCCACCAGCTTTAAATATCTACGAATGACAACAAAGGCTTGGATTTAACTGATAAATAAATCGTAGCAATCTGGCATGTAAAGATTGTTATATTTCAAATATAAATTTTCGACAAAATTTGCCATATCTACGTAGCTTGTTATATATATAATTTTCTGTTACTCTTCGTATTAAAATTTTGCCTTTAAAACAACATAGCCATTTTTGAGCAATTGTTCAAAATACTTTGTTTATCCCGATAGCTCAAAGTCAGCGAAGGTTCTATACCAAAAACATTGGCTTTAAATGTATCACCTTACTGATTATGTATACTATTCATTGTAAGCATTATATTTTACTTAACGAGGTTAGTGTTAGTTCTGGTGTCTAGTTATACAGACCTAACAAGAACTGTTGGACTCGACACAAGACAAATGAGTCATCTAGTAAACATCTATATAATAATTAGTTTTATTTTTAATATGTATATGGGTGTGATAAGTTGAAATGAACAGCGATGCCAGTCCACAAAGTTCTTTTAAAATATCGTCACTATTATTACCTATTATGAAAACGGAAATTGTTAAAACGATTGTTATTCATGAAATAGAACTTTAAATACGATTATCACAGCCTATATTAAAATATTATAGATTATTTTCTTATGAAGTAACATATATATATAATATAAACCAGAATCTCCAAACCAAACGAATTGGTGTTCTTAAATATTTTGAAAGGTTTCTCGACAATTCCTTCTGGATTAAAAAACAAAACCAAGTACTATTGACGTCATTCCACCGTCATCTAAGCCT